TAGTCTCACTGTTCTTAGTTCCTGTAGGCAATTAGGGACACCCAGACATGCAGAAGCATCCCTAGGGATGAACTAGGGAGCAGAGAGAGCCTAAGAGAACCCCAGCCCACTGATGAGAGGATTCATGTCCCCTAAACCTTTTCTCTCAGGCAAGCCATATCTTTTCACCACTTCAGGTTATATGGCTGCGTTCCTGACCTGAATATTGGATCCCATGCTGGAGGGGTTCAGATCCCTCTTCAAGATGGGCGATTTTTGAGTTCAGAACTTGGCCCTAGTTCAGCACCACGGACAGCATCACATCCCACCCCCTACTCCCGCCCTGCCTGGAACTCACCAGGTCTACAAAGAGTATTAGGAGGACAGACGTCCCCTTGTGTGGTGAGACACCTTCACTGCAGCCCACAGAAATTAGTTCAAGATAAGGCTGGAAGCAGGGGAGAGATCACTACATCATAGCACATAAAGGATCTCGATACACACCTCATTTTTAGGTCATCACCCAACAAGCCTGGGAATTTGGCATCAAACACTCTGATGTACAATGTTTCTTGGAGTTTGTGTGACCATAGAAAACCACCCAACTCCATGTCTTCTATGAGTGTGGGGCCAGGACTCCCAGCACCCTGAGTGCAAGAGGGAGTCCAAGGAGAGATCAAGGCTTGGGATACTCAGTGTCTGGATCCTGGGTATTCAGTGCCTGAGGAGAGGTACAAGCAGGATTCCAGAATCCTCCTACTTTGCTGATTTTGTAGCTTGAGAAGAGGAGTGGTCCAACACTCATTCCACCCTTCACCACTGCAAGGGAACTATTATATTTCTTCCCAGATACTCCCTTCCCATGGACATAATTGTCTTTCGGTGACATGGTACAGGTAAGAAGCAATCTTTTTTCTCTGGGACTAATGGGAGTGGTGTATCTGCCACGCCATAGCACAGCTGGAGTCCCAAGTTCACGTGATGGGAAGGATGAGGTCATACATGGTATGTCCTCATTCCCCCATAGTCAAGTTCTGCCCATAGACCTTTCTCATCAATCCATAATGAGCTCAAGAGCTCCACTAACATTCCCTCAGGTATTACAACTGAAGCTTGAGGGCCAAGGGACAGGAGCATCAGCCCCCAGTATTCAGAGGATGGACGACAAATAGGTTCTAGAGCTCAGAGCTTCTCTGGGAAAGAGAGACTTCAACACTGGTTCTAATGCAGTAAATGTATCTCTAATCAATGGATTATAAATAATTTAATGGGAATTCTTTGCTCTAGGGAATAAATGTAAGCTTCACAATAAGAGATATTTGAATTCAATTCTGGTTTCTCCATTTGCTCAGGGGGTGACATGAGAAAGTTGGTCACTCTACTTCTCTGTACCTCAGTGTCCTTCTCTGTGATGTGGGGAAGTAATAAGCCCCATGTCACAAGGATGCTGTGACACACGGAAGCACTGTATGCAGGTCCTGGTACAGGTGTGTGTTCGTTGTGTGCTGGTTCCTTATCCTTTGAAAATGCAAGTTCCTGCTGGCAACAATGCCTGATGCTGTGAGTGGCAAGTCCCATTCTGTATTAAGTGAACACAGGACATTTCACTAAATGGAGCTAAAATTTCACCAGGAAAATCCAAACCAGGAAATGAATAAAACATCACACTATATACTTCTCAATGGGGTCAACTAGAAAGAATCAGAAGTCTGTAGTGTGTTGAACATGATGTAATCTATGCAGAAATAGAAGTAAAATGAATTACAACTGAAATGTATACAATTTTATAAACCAATGTTACTGCAATAAACATATAATTAAAAAAAAGAAGAAAATAATGTTTATAAAACAGAAAAGTTTCCTGAGCCTGAATAATTTCCTCTTCTCAAGAAGCAGGAATATATGCGGGAAAGTAGGGTTGACAGAACTCTGAGAACTTTCACGGAGATCTCCCAATTGGCACACACGCTCACTCATATGAGCGGACTGACCTGGATAAAATCAATGAAAAGACTTCCAGAGAAGAAGCCTTACATATCATAGGGGCTGTCTCTGAGGGTTGCCAGAGCTTAGCATCTTCCCTCACAGTGTTCTCTGTTTGTTTTCAAGCAGAAACCTCAATGTAGGATATACCTTTGGTTTATGGAGAGGACCCTAGTGAAGCTCAAAGTGTCATAAGAGAGAGGGGTGTCCTGGACCTCAGGAGGGGTGTGCCCATTCCCATTTGAGTTCTACCCTCTTTCTCTCCCCGGGGACTCCCTTAACCCCAGACACGTAGATCTCAGACAAGTTGGTTGAAAGTAACACCTATCTCCTATACCCTAGCTCTGAGTTAAGGGGGAAGATACAATGTCTGGAGAGACTGCCTGTAGTAAGCATGAGAATATGAAGAGTAATCACATGAACACTATAAAACATACTACAACAGAAAGGGGGAACAAAGATACAAGGACGTGCAAGGCAAAGAACTCAGTCTGGCAGCACTTACAATGCCAGAAAGAGAAGAAGATTCCTTTCAGGTGTTTCAGTACAGCTGAAGTTAATAAGAAAAAACAGTGAGTCTTAATAGCTCAGGAGAAAGGTGAATAATTCTTAAATCCAGGTGACAGGTTTGTTATTCTATTCTGACTTTGGTACTTCTTTAACAAACAAGTTAAGTAAAGATATGATGTTGTTCCCATGACCTTATGGAAAGGTTTTAGTTTCAGTTTGGGTAATTTCTATGAATTGATCTTCAAGTTTACTGATTGTTTGCTTGGTTTTATCAAGTCTACTGTCCGTCAAGGGCATTCTTCATTTCTGTTGTCAAATTTAAAAATTGCTATCATTTCCATTTATCACTTTTTATAATTTTCATCTTTCTGGTGAAATTCCCTATATGATCATGCATTTTTACCACCTTTCCATTAGAGCATTTAACATAATAATAGTTATGTTATATGTTCCTTTCCGGTAGTTCCAACATCTGGTTCATATCCGAGACTTCTTCTGTTGAGTCCTTGGACTCTTGAAAGTTGGTTGATATTTCTTGCTTTTTGTGCATTTCCAAATGTTTTATTGAGTGTTGGACACTGTGTGTAGAAGAGTAGAGACTGAGGTAAACAGTGTTTATGCCTGGAAGTGGGCATGCCTCTTCTTCTGTTGGGATGTTAATGTGGGAATTTGTACCTGTCCTGTCAGAATTGAGCTGGATTTTGGTTTTGTGGTCTGTGTAGTTACCTTCAGTCACCAGAGCTTCAATTCCTCTGGCATTACTGAGGATCATGACTAGTCTGTAGAAGGGGTTTTCAGTGCTTATTTTCCACCTTTAACTTTGCTCTTCCCTATGAATCTATTTCTCAGAGACGATCTCTCTCCGTGTTCTTGCCCAGTAGAAGGAATGCAGTACTAATCATTATCTAGATAGACTTATTTTGTTTGAAATGACCTAGAAGAGGAAAAAAATCATAAAAAAGAGAAAAGTTATAGTAGATTGGTACCACAAGGTACCAAGACCTCATATAAAGCCACAGTAATTAAGGTCATGTGGGGCTGTTTTAGGATAGACTGATAGAGCAGGATAGAATTTTCAGAATCAAACCTACACATATACAATTACTTGATTTATGACAAGAGCAGTGGGAGAAACATGGACCTTTTGAGAAATAGTGCTGGATCCATTGGATATCCGCATGGGTAAAAATGAATCATAACACCTACATCACACAATACAGGAAAGTCCATTCCTAGTGGTTTGGATACCCAAATGTAAATAGGGAAACTTTAGATATTTTTTTAGAAAAAAAAGATCATCTGTGTATCCTTGTGGCTATGCAAGTATTTCTTAATCTAGGTAAACATTTACTAACAATGACAGAAAAGGTTGATAAACTTGACTACATTAGAATTAAGAAACTCTTCATAAAAGATGCCATGAAGAAGATATTGGTAATAAAAATCTCCAAGAGAGAATTTGTATGCAGAATATTTAAGTACCTGTGAAAATTGATAAGAAAAGGATCAACAACCAAATAGGAAATTGGGCAAATGACTTAAAGTCCTTCTCAGAGGAAGATGCTCAAATCCCCATGAGAATATGAGAAGTTCCTTAGTCTCATGAGTCATCAAGGAAATGCAAAATAAACCCACAATGAATTCTACTAATCTCAAGGATGATTAAAGTGAAAGCAGACCAAAAATCCCACGAAGGAAACAATTGGAAATATCAAGTATTGTCCAGAATTGAAATTACTGGAACTCTCATATACTCGTTATTGAAATGTAAATATTATAAACACTTTGGAAACTGATTGGCAATACTTACTAAAACTGAATATGCACATACTCTGTTACTGAGAAAGGCCACGCTACAAAGTACACCCAACAAAAGTGCACATACATACATAAATCACCACTTTTGTAGCACTACTCTTCGTAAGAGATCCAGGATGGAAATAGCCCAAACGCCCATCAAAGACAGACAGATTATGGAGTGTATGGCATCTGCACACAATGGAATTCTTTCAGCAGTGAGAATGAATGAATCACTGATGTGTGGCTAGATCTCACAGCAAAAGACTGAGCAAAGGGGCCAGACACAGATGAATGCACACTGGAAGTTCCCAACTATGTAAAAATTAAAAACAAATAAAACTAATCAATGATGATGGAAGTGATTACAGTGGTACTTTTTTTCGGGTGGACGTGACTAACTAGGAATGGACATTGGTGATGCTTCTTAATCTAGATGGTTATTCTGGGAATGACATCATTAGGAAAATTGATCAAGCATATCTTTATAATCAGAACTGCTTTCACTATGTATATTTGCTTCAATGTTTTTACTTTAAAAACAATATATGAGGATACCTCACACAAATATATGCTGATTCATTTTAAAATTTAAATGACATCTAAAAATTATAAAAAATGTATATTTTACTGAAACCATCTCAGGACAAAGTGAAAAACCCAAATAGCCCTGTATCCATAAAGGAATTGATGCAGTGGGAAATATTATGTTCCAGGGAAAAAGTTCAATGGCATGTTCATCCGAATGTGCAGGGCACAAAAAATTCCAACTTTTCATAAGCACTTCTGAGTATGAAAGTCACATCAGCCAGTATCACTTTTGGAAGTCTTTTGCTTTCTCTAGAACTATATTGAGTTCTGCAGAGTAGGGAAGTGATGATGGCTGATCTCCAAGAACTTCCGCATCTCTGGCAGCTGTGGGCCTGAACTTGCACTTATGTGCACAATTACCATCCTGTTCTTATTCAGTCACTTCCTGTGTAGTTTACTCTTATTTTTCCCAAGCCATTCTTCCCAACTGAGGGACCCTGGTGGCCAGACTGTCCCAGGGCAGTGGCTGGCATTTATGGTTCAAGAGAGGCTTCTGTTGTTGGTAGTGCTGCTGCAGTGCATGCTGTGGGAAGGTGAGAGGACCAGGAGCCAGAGGGGTCCAGGGTGGGGAGCGAGGGTGGAGTCTGATTCTGTTACTCACGTTTATTACATGAAACACAGTTACAAAATGAGACACTGTTCCTGAATGTGACAGGAAGGGTAAGTCCTAGAAAAGAAGTCTTTCCTCCATCCAAGTTAATGGGAGGCCCACAGGCCCCTGGGAGGCTCCAACATGGAGCGTCCCCCTCCAGAAAGTGACGTCAGCCCCTTTCTCTTCCCTAGCCAACCTAAACTCATGAGATGCATTTCCCAGGAATGCTGGGATCCAGTTACTCTGGAAATCTGACTTCTGAGAAGGGGACCACACCTTGGAAATTGACCCTGGAACATTTCTCTGGAAATTTGACATGCAGTGCTTTCTCTTCTATTCAGTGCATCAAAGGACTGGATGATGCCCACCCCCATGTGGGAGGGAAATCTTTTTTACTGAGGTCACCACGTTAAAAGCCAATCTCATCTGGAAGCACTCTCACAGACACATGCACAAATAATATTTAACCTGGGCATTCCACAGCCCAGTCAAATTGACACCTAAAATTAGCCATCATACTCGCCTTGGAGGCTAATGGTGAGCATACATACACAGAAAGACCGACAGACACACAGCTTGTCACTGGGCGTTCTGAATACTGAGATGGGCCATTTCCTGCCCTTTGCCCTGGGGAAGATGGGTCTCCTATGAATAGGCAAATGGTCCTAGTTGTCAGGTCAAAGCGATCCTGGGACATGTCTTAGTAGGAGAGAAATACTAGGCGTGCTCTTCTCCTGGATCTTTTGCATGTCACTGTAAATGACTCTCTGGGCCCCTGTGTCCACCTGGGTCACCAATCCATGTACTGAGGCTTGGTGGTCCCTCTCCCCCGAAGTGCAGCCAGTAGCTTACCCCTACCCCTCCCTGCCTCCCAGCAGTTGAGCAGCTGTTACGTCACACCAGCAGGGTGAGCCAAACATCAGTGATGATGTGCAAGGGCTTCATAGCGCCTGCCCCTCCACTGACCCTCAGAGCCTGGTGGCTGCAGCTTCCACTTCTCCCTTCTCTTGTGACCAATTGTAACCTGCAAGCAAAGAGGGAAGGGGATGCTGGGAAACGTAGTTCCGGCTTGACAAAGCCTCCATGGGTATGTTCACTGAAGCTTTCAAATAACCCTTTAAAAGTCATCCTTTAAATATAGTAAATGGAAAAATCCATCAGGTGAGTAAACCTTCAACTTAACCTTTTCCCTATTAGCTATGATTTGCGTGGCTGCTGTTTAGTTATCTCGTCCTGCACATCAAATCAGCCTAAAACACAACGGCCCAAGCAATTATTTTATTCTATTGTTTATTGTTTATTCTCATTGTTCTGTAAATTGGCCAGAGCTCAACTGGGCAGTTTCACCCCTAGATTTGCCTCGGGCTCTTTCAGGCAGTCGCATTGGGATGGTGGCAGTGACTTGGGCAGGACATCTGATCCTTCAGGGTTCCTCTATGTAGCATCTCTTCATCAGAGTCCCCGCGATTTCTTACACAGAAGCCCAGAAATCCATGAGGCAAGAGTGGAACCTGCCAGGCCTTCTTAATGTCTGAGCGATATGAGTCTCAGAACATCTTGTCCTCCACATTCTATTAGTCAAAACGGTCATGGGACCAGTCTAGGTTCAAGAATAGGAGATAATAATAACCAACTCCATCTTGTAGGGAGAGGAGCGCCATGTTTGTATAAAGGAGGGTCTGGATTGTTTGGGGCTGTCTTTGGTGACTAGTTGCTACAGCTACTCGCCTGTCTGAATTTAAGCTGCCTCCTCCACTTGATGAGGGGAACATCCCTCTCTGTTAGAGATGTTGGGAAAATGAAATGGGAAGAGATATGCAAATGTACAGGACAAAACCTTCATCTTCCCTGCCCTTGGACCCGTGACCACAGCCTGACATTGTTCATAGGACATTCCTGAGGGAGGACAGAAGGAAAAGGAGGAGAAACAGAGGAATTCTCCCCTGTCTAGTCCCTCCTCCCAGGTAGACCTGAGCCCTCCCCAGCACATCTGATGTCTTGACCCTCCTGACTCCAGATATAAGGTCCCTGTGCTGTGTGAGCAGGCCCCTCCACAGAGCTGCAGACATCTCCACAGTCAACCCTCAGCTCTGAATCAGCACCACGGACAGCACCATGGCCCTTTCCTAAGGAATCCCCAGGAGCCAGGCAAGTCCTGGGTAGAAGGAGCGCCTCCTAGTGTGGTGGTCTAAGGTCGGCTGGGGCAAAGGTGTGGTTGGGCACATTCAGAGTGCAGAACTTGGTAGCTGGCGGAAGATCTCCAGCACAGTATGGGAGTGAGTGGTATTGAGAAGATAATATCTGAGAGTCCGCCAACTCCCAGGGTACCAGCATCACCTGGGGAATTCACATCCCTCGTGACCCCCTGAGAGTCTCTACCGTGTCTACTTGGCCCAGTACTCCCTGAGACTCACCTTCCAGTCCAGAAGAGGAAGAGCTCCACCCACCCCATGTGTGCTTCCCCATCACAGCCACCTAACCTATGGCACCGGAATTATCAGGTAACCTGTCTCCCTACCAGATGGTGCTCTCCTCAAAGGCAAGGGCTAGACCTGTCATATTCACCCCTCTTACTAGAAACCTGAAGGAATGGTTTACATGATTGTTGAATGCATGAATGAATGAATGAAATACCCTCCCTCCTCTCTTGGGATGAGTTGAAAATTCTTCCCTTCCAGATTAACATAAACTTACTGCCTCCCAATCCAAGGAAACCTGGGCTGACACAGATTGATGAAGTGGATCCCAGTGCAGAGAATAGTGCATGAGGCATGGCACCTGTGTGATTTGGGCAATTGTCTTGCTTCCTCTGGATCTCACTGGCTTCTCTGAAAATTGGAGAAATAAGGCTAGAAGCCTCCTCAGCTCTGATGGCCCATGGATCATACTTCCTGTTTTGCACACAGTTCGTTTCTTGTACTTCCCCCTGTCTCTCCTTCCAATTCTTCTGCTTTTCTTTGCAAATTGGGAACGGTGGGAACAGGATCGGCATGGCCAGGCCCTTCTGACCACAGATACCGCAGCTGCCCCTACAGGGAGAGAATGAGTGGCCAAGACAGGGGAGCCCAGGAGGGGGATGGGGCTGCAGGATGAGATTCCAGCTGAAAATGCAGGAAATGGTGATGGTGTAAGAGGGTCTATGCAGGCTCCAATCCCACACCTTCCTTCTCCATGATCATGGCACTGACACTGCCCTAGGTTTTGGGTGATAGTTCTGGGAAGGGCATAATATGGGATGGACAGATTCATGAAGTTGAATAGAAGAAAACAGACTGTAATTTTTCTATGTATATTTCTATGTCTTAAGATAAAGACATGCAAATCCATAGTGTTAAAGGCAGCATGTTCAGATGATAAAACCACAGAGAAAAGCAAGGAAACAAATGACGTTACAGTGAGTCTGGGGGTCCTTGGGGGAGTGTGGTGTGGGGATAGGGAGGGGGACCACGGGGGAGGTCCTGGGTGCTCCCAAGGTCCTACTTCTTGAAGGATCTTCATTTTTTGATGAATCACTGAGCTGTTCTTGTGAGGGCACTTCTCTGTATGTGTCTTATGTTTCCCCAAAAAATGTTTCAAGAAAACCCACATTGGTCTGACGAGACACCACCTCACAGGATTCCCATCACTTCCTCCAGCCCCCCACCACACAGTTAAAAATAACCTTCTGTGAATTCAGGCTCATGTCTCTTCTCTCATGAAATCTTCACCATCCCTGAGGGTGGATGACCCCCAGGCTGGCGTTCCTTGCTCTGTGTCTCCCGAACACCTGCATGCTGAGAGCAGAACCTGCTCAGGCAACGACTCAGAGGTCGGCAGACCTCACCATGCTCTGGAGCAATAAGGAGAAGCGCGGTCCTGTGAGACACCAGCGATGAAATAATTTGTCCTGGTGCCCAAACAGCCCCCACAAAGGGGAAAGTTTCTATCCCTTTCGAAATCTGTGCCTTCTGTCCTGCACTTTCTTCCTTTCCAAACCCATGGTGCAGAGAATCACAGCCTCAGTTTCCCAGCCATGCTGTGAGCAGGGATCCCCTCGATGTCCCCGGCTTGTGCTAACACAGAATCCTGGCCTCCACTGCCTGAGTGTTCCCTCTGCCCCTCCTCCTGAGACACAACCTCCAACCTGCAGGGAGGGCGACACCCCACACTGCCTGTGTGCCGCCCATTGCAGCCCCTGTCACAGGGAGTTCCAGGTGCCCAGACACCTATTGTCTCCCCACTGGGCAGTGACTCAGGGCTGCGTCCAGGGCTGGTGTGTGACCTCATGAGCAGAGTGGGGATGCCCACTATGTGGATGCTGAGGGAAGGAAGTCAGTTGGTCTCCCTTATACCTTGGTTCCCTGAGTCCCACTCCTGGCTGGAATGACCTCCACAGA